CAACTCGGTAGGCTTCTGCTCCTGCTGCCTACCTCTGGTGACTGACCGCACTTCGGCACACCACGCCTATCCTCGCCATCATTATGCTTCAAACAAACCTCCAAAAAATCCACATAGGACATGCAATATCTACGCATTCGTAGGCGTTTCTTGCCGTTTCAGACGTAGCCAAAAGTGTTGCGGTTGCACCACCGGGTCCACCTGGCGATCGGACAGAATTGGGAGAAACGGCTGGGTACATTCTGAAATTATTGGCTTCCTTCAGTTTTTTTTTACAATGTTTCCTTCACCTGAACGACTACAGTTTGTGCTTCTTGGACTTTCCTCCTTACAACGAAAGGAGAGATCTTAATTGGGCGATTCTCTCCTTCTCTCCGCACAAGTCGTATGTTATCGCGTATAAAAGGCGTATGTCACGGCAATGTACTGCGACGCGACCTTAGCGACTAACAAGTCTGTTGCTTACCGAAATAAGCACGCAGAAGCGGCCGCGGCTACGGTGATCGACGTGCCGTGTCGGAAACTTCAACCGTTAAATAGTTTAGGAAGCTTGAGCAGACTGTATGAGGTTATTTTGAAGGACAGTGAATGCATATGGCCACGGCCATTTAACGTTGTTGTCAGAAATCAGCGAAAAGCAGGATTTGAAATTAGTTGATCGTTATGAGTTTACGAACGAGTGATCCTCTCAATACGGCCCTAGACTGCGGCCTTTTAAAAACAAGCCTATCATCGTGCTTAGGGTGGCAGCTATCGCTTCCAGGAGAAATTTAATCAACGACATGCCTCGAATGGTTTACGGTGGGGGGGGGGGGGGGGGGGTGGGGGGGGGGGGGGGGGGGGGGGGGGGGGGGGGGGGGGGGGGGGGGGGGGGGGGGGGGGGGGGGGGGGGGGGGGGGGGGGGGGGGGGGGGGGGGGGGGGGGGGGGGGGGGGGGGGGGGGGGGGGGGGGGGGGGGGGGGGGGGGGGGGGGGGGGGGGGGGGGGGGGGGGGGGGGGGGGGGGGGGGGGGGGGGGGGGGGGGGGGGGGGGGGGGGGGGGGGGGGGGGGGGGGGGGGGGGGGGGGGGGGGGGGGGGGGGGGGGGGGGGGGGGGGGGGGGGGGGGGGGGGGGGGGGGGGGGGGGGGGGGGGGGGGGGGGGGGGGGGGGGGGGGGGGGGGGGGGGGGGGGGGGGGGGGGGGGGAAGGGGGGGGGGATTTGAGGAGGTGAGTAGGAGTCGCTGCCAGCATGCTTTGCTGATATGTCGCGATATATGTTGGAAGCAGCTTATCCACATAGTTCTATCAAGTACACGTTCACTTCCGGTGACAAGCTACCCCACTTACGAGATCTCGAGCTATTAGATTGGGGTTTACTACGGATCGCCTTTTAACCATCGCGTGCTAGCGCACGCCCTTTTCGCCGCAACAGGTGCCTTCTCCGTCGAGAGGAATTGAAAGGCAAAAGTTAACGAGCTGCTTCCCATGGTTTTCGTGGATCAGGCTTGGGTTCGGGACTCTGTCTTGTGAAAAAGGTTTACCTACGGTTACTCATGCGATGAATTATGTAATGACAGTTTGGGGGAGGGTAGGTTATATTGGGGGGAGAGACGTGCAGAAAGGAAATTGCCCTTTTGTAATGAATGAGATGGGAAAGCGGGACCAAAGGGGCGCCCACTGCTAGTAGTCCACAGATCCTGAAGGAGCTCCTTCTCAATCACTCATTGCACCTTTTTAGGCTAGGCTGCCGATGCTCGTTGTTTCAAAAATTGCACCTATTTTGTAAGTGATTGTAATAGGAGGTACCGCAAGCCATAGTAAACCATTAACGAACCCGTGCATTGTTGGCCCATGCGGTGATTTGTGAACAGATTATCCGTAAGGCCGCTGTTGGAGCCTGTGAGCAGATCCCCTGTGAATCCACAGTGCGAAGGAATGTGCCCAGGAAGAGTAATAAACGCAGGGCGCTTGTTGAAGGCATTACCTGAAATGAAAAAACGGTGAAATTTAAACTGTTCGAGAGGGGAGTAGAGTGAATTGCATATTTTTTTCGTCGAAAGACCCGTCGAGGTTCATCAACTAGGTACATATAAGCTGTAACAGTGAATTCTAAAAAGTACTCACATAACAAGAGCACGAGATGTGGGGTATATTTATGCATTTACCTATTTACTTATTTATCTATTTATCCAAATGCACCAACAAGGGAGGGGTCACACAAGCCAGATTAACGAAATCTAGAGGTTGTCAAATTGTATTCAGTTTTGCAAGAAAGGGAGGGTAAGGTTAACAATAATGAATGAAAACCAGAAAGATTACAAAGCGGGATTTGTGAGAAATTCCACTGAGATGATTTTAGTGATATTACAAGAAGGTTGCTTTCCCTGTCTGATAGACCGAAATTATCCATCCCCCCTTTTCTATCTGTCGTTCTCCTTATGTCCTCCTTAGGGGGCAGCAACTAAAGAAGGGGGAAAACGGACAATTCTTCTGGTGTTGGGCACAACAACACGAGACTACAATGCAATTTGCAAACGGAAAACTCAGCTCCTCAAGAATTTCGTCTGGGGCTCCGGGCGGATAAGCCGATGGACTTGGCGAATGCACCATGCACCTATCATCTGTACTCTAGGTTGAATTCTATCGTTGCAATTCCATAATTCATCTCTGCCGTCTGCTTCTTTTCACCTTTTGCACTGTCAAAGCTTCATATTTCGAGTAGCTCTTGACAGAATGAAAAAAATTGAACTGAAAAATAATGCATGGGAGATGAATCTATCCATCTAGGAAACTAATTAATATTGTTGGTGTTGTTGTGCCTCTTAAAGTTCAAAGTGGAGCAGATTATTTAGGAGTTCATTGTTTCGACGTGAACGTCGGCCTTCGTCTAATATTACGACTAAACATAGGGTTGAAAAATCTCTCAAAGGACTGCAAATGAAATCGAAAGAAGCTTTTTAATAATTTCCAAGCTCTCAGTGCAAAGGGGTGAAAGCGATTCGGTGATTCGGGTACAATAATTGGGATGGGGCTCTGGTGGAGAAGGCCTGAATATGACCAACGTAGAGTGATTTCCAGGCTAACAAAGCTTTAGAGAAGATAAAAACTAAACAGTGGAGGTGTTCGGCGAAGTCGACCGCCAATGGTATTATCAGAATCAGTTTAAATAGGTCAGGGTAAATAGTTTAACACTCTTTATTGTCGTTTGAACACAACACTTACAGCTGTGGTAATCACTTCAAGGACGATGTTTAACATGATGGCGATCATTACTAACTATAACAGAACAGAGATTTTGCAGGGATTTTTGCACTGAAAACACCTGGTTTGGGTTTGATTGTTGAGCGTAGTAGGTTTATATGGGGCGGGATATCAAGGATGGAAAGCTGTCGAATGATTTAGCCAATTGGACTAGCATTTTTCAGACAACCAATATATTTTCCACTAATTATGACAACTTTTCCCATCTTTCTGGCAAGAGATACCATAACACGATTTGGTTTATGGTGACCGATTCATTTTGCACTCCTTCAACTCTTCCAGTCATGCACCAGCCGAGCAGCGCTGCATGGAGTTGCACGAAATAGGGGCTCGGTGGCGTAAATTGTAGCGCGCTTGCCCGGTAAGCAAGAGGTGCGGTTTGAGTCCCGTCCAGGGCGGAAGTTTTGTTCACATTCCAGCATTCTTGTGAAGTAACTCTAGAATTTTCTGGTTTTTTTTGCTTTATCTCCTCGCTGTCCATTCCACTATCACCTGTACCTTCTTCTTCAAGCCTAAATCATGATATATTTTCATCGGGTTATGTAGTCATTGGCGTCATTGCCGCCTAGTCGATGTTTTTTTTTAAATAGTACCTCAAAGTATTGATTCACTCATGGTATTCATTCACATGGTACCGTTTTTACAATTCTAAGAGCACCGTGCACGATTCCTTTGAACGTCGAGCTCACGATGAAATGGCAGCTCATCAGAAGTTCGAGGTAGAGGTGGTCACTGGTGCAAAGATGAAGAAAAACCATGAGAGACGCCCAGAATTGAGAAATGGGACACCGTTTCCCGTTGATTTCCGCATTGGATGCCACTCGCATTGCTGCTGCCCTCTTCATTGCTAACGCACTCTTTGCTGAACAGCTAGAGTCAGACGGCGAGAGCTTACCTATCGACGGGTTCGGAAACGCGAGAGGCGGAGTACGGTCTCTTTTGGCCACATATTGCTGTAAGGCCGATGTCATAGTTTGCGAATCGAGCGATTCGCTAGCGAATCGCTGGATCCGAGCGTTGCGCCAGCGAATCGAACGTTGCACCAGCGAATCGAACTTTGCGCCAGCGAGTCGAACGATGTACCAGCGAGTCGAACTAGGTACCAGCGACTCAATAGTGGCGGGACCCAACGTTCAAAGGAAGCCCGCCACTTTCAAACAGTGTCACGTGACAGTGGACGCTGTTTGAAAGTGGCGGGACTTGACAGTGGACACTGTTTGAAAGTGGCGGGCTTCCTTTAAACGTTGGGTCCCGCCACTATTGAGTCGCTGGTACCTAGTTCGACTCGCTGGTACATCGTTCGACTCGCTGGCGCAAAGTTCGATTCGCTGGTGCAACGCGCAACGCTCGGATCAGCGATTCGCTAGCGAATCGCTCGATTCGCAAACTATGACATCGGCCTATACGCTTCGTTCCCGTACTCTCGAGCCTCTCATCCCTCGCTGAGTATATTTCCTCTTCTTGGAAGTTCTTTCGAATTTTATCGTGGAAACCTTTATCATGAAGATCGTGAGGTCAGAAAGCTGCACAAATAGTAATCACAATTTAGCGTTTTCTGCTATGCTAAAATCATCGGTAGTAGGCTTCACATCCGGGAACCTATGGTAGTTAAAGACGTTCAAATCCTCTTTCACGAACAGTTTCATATATTGATCGATTTGTTTATGGAACCCAATATTAGAGGCAAATTTTTATTAATCGTATAATGACATCAATGTACAGGTATGTAGGTGAGGTAGCGTCGATCAGTTGATGACCAGTTGATTATTCTGAAAATGAATATAATATAAAGGATAGCTATTGATCGACTGACTTACGAACAGGAAATATAACTCACTCCTGAGCACACATCCACCGACTGTAGGGGTGTAAGCTGGAGAGCACTGGCAAACACCGGATGTGCAGAGCGCACCAGGCGCACAAGGGCTCGCCGGTGTGTAGCATGGTGCTCCAAGGGCTACCTGAAAGCGCTTACCATAGAGCTGAGGTACTGTAAACACTTCCACGAAGTGGTAACTCACAGGCATAGCTGGCACAACAACTGCAGGAGGCGGTGCGACACTGTAGACGGTACGGCTCACGCATACAGTACCCTCTTGCACGAGCTCCGGTGGGCAGAGGCAGACGCCAAGTGAGCAGACAGAGCCGCCAGTGCATTCGACTCCTGGTTCACAGGGAGAGCCGGGGAGAGCCTAAACCGCACGATGGTAGGTCTTTAGGTTCAAAAATAGCCACGGAATGAGAAGCATGAAGGGGCATGAGCTCAGGCTCAATACAAGGAAGACATTTGATTCAAAACGGATCACTAAGAATATGGAACGTACCTGGTGGGATCAAACGACCGGCGACCACAGGTGCTGGCGCCATCGGCACTGGTGCTGGTGCCAGTGGTACAGGTGGAGAACAACCGACCACAGGGTTATAGACAACGGCCGGCTGAGCGCACTGACAAGCACCTGCGTAACACCTGAAAGTCGATTTTGTGCATATCTTCAATATTCTGAAGTTCTAAACTCCAGTAATCACGCAGGTAAAAACTGAAGCGAACTGAAAATACCCACATTGCACCTCCCACACATGCAGGAGCACAACCCGGGCCAGCTGGTGGTGGCATCCCTGAAACGGCAGTTTGAAGTGAAATCGAAATCAACGATTGTGAAATGGCAGCAAAATCACTAATGTGTCCTCATGGACGCAAGAGGCATGAGTAGTTCCGGGAGTACGGTACTTACCGTACTGGGCTGTGGCGATGGCAAGCAGGGAGGAGGCGACGATAAGCGACATAGTGTACATATGTGGTCCATTTCCGCGACCGGACCACTTTTATATGAGCCGCAGCGCCGTAGGCGAACGCACCGCCACACCTCTTGGCCGAGCCGTTGCGACGTCATCGTTAAGAACGCGTGCACACAAAATCTCAGGTGTTGGCCGCGTCGTCGCGTGCGCGACGGCTGGACGCCGCATCTGCGGTTTGTTAGAATTTTCCCATTTTAATAAGTTACGTCAGTAGCGCTAGCGCAGTGACTGGTTCGCTGAAGAGAGAGGTAATGAGAGGGTGCACTTTGGCGTTTAAGCAAATATATTCATTGGTATAAGGCTCACATGGAAAAATTGCTTTCAACATTGCCGTTCACGAAAATTCGTTGTGTTGTAACAAACACATAAGTGCCACTACACAATCTAATTTTGAAGGAAAAGCATGGCGAAATCCTACGATGGTTTACCGATACCAACTAAATTGTCGCTCTTATGGTGACAGAGATTTAGAAGCTGTTTTGAGAGACACAGCATAGGCTCGCCCAGCCCATTCCTGTATGTCCCAAACAGTGCGCATACGATTTTTGTAGGGGATTTTAACGCATAGGCATCTACTGATTGATGTTCACTGGGTAATATTATTTTTCCAGTTTATTTATCGCTATTCTCGCTTTTCTTTGGTTTGTTAGGCGTAGCATGTTCGACAACGTTGCCGAAGCACGAGAGTAAACATTCCACTGACCGTCGAAACAACAGCCATGCAAACAAGGCTGCGTTCCAATCCAGGGCGGCATCCTCAAAAAGAGGATTGCCGGTGTAGAGGGGGATGAGTACCACTTCTGTTTTGGAGTTGCACCCTTGCAAAAACTTGGCGCTGTAATTCTTAGTATTTAATTGCTTTAAAAATTACTAAAGCTCAAGTGATAATTACTACACGTCAATTCCCGTGTTGAGAAATTTAGATGATCCACCTTCTATTCTCTTCAAGTTCCTATGTAAAACAGTGAATAACGAGAGGCTGGTTGCAACGCACATAGAGCCATTGCTTCGTCCAAATCTCAAGTTTGACTTCGTCTAGGCTAACACGTTTCCACGGTTCGTCTAATTCGGTAGTCGGGCTCGTGGGGAAGATAAGAACCTAATTTTTAAAATTGGCTTTGCCAAGCAAGTTGTATCTATTTCATTGAGATACAAACTCTCACTCTAAACGTATATAAAATTTGAGGCCATTCTACAAATGGTAGGGCTACAAATCTCTATTGTCATGTAGTCCAACGAAAATATTGCGAACTAGATTGGCCTGCAAGCTATGTCCTCTCTATCTGTAGTATTCCTAGCTGACTACCTAAATAGTTTGGTGCATTTGGCGCACGGGTTGGATTCCTTGAATTAAAATACTAATTTTACTGTTCTTTGTTATGAAGAGCTTTTTATTCTATGCTAGTTGAACGTTCTTTTCTAATGGGCGCGTTTTAAGCGCAAGTAAATAAACAAATGTAGGTAAAATTTATTGTGCTTGATTTCACCAGGCAGAAATTACAGTGCTTAGGGTGGTGACTGTGCCTGTAGCTAGTTCCAGGATTTTGTGTTCGTGCCGTCGTCTACATCGCGTCACTAATAATTACATTCGCTATGATGTGTTTTTGGTGTCGGTTTCCCGCACAAGACTCTGCCGCGTCCACATCTTTCACTGATTTCCGCAGCGTCAAGTCGCATTCAGTTACAATTCTGTTTGCATTTCATACTACGTTCCGGTCGCGCTTTTCAATCCGCAAAGTGCTGGACAAAGAAAGGCTAGGCCAGGAATCAAACACGACGGATCTGCCGCCTCCAGCGGAATGTGTTCAGGAAGCGTCTGGCCTTCTCGTGCGGCACCTCGTTTGACGGCTCAGTAAGAGACAGTCTGGACGGGCTGAACCCGTCACGTGATTTTCTGAAGGAAGAACATCTGAGGGCACGAAGAGAACATCTCGCTATGTTTTTGTTCGAGTAACTATAACAGATGAAATATCATAGCAACAGGCAAAGTATGATCCTTACAATTTTCAATTTGCTAAATAATCAAAACTTGTCCCCGGCCCTAAATTACGAAGGTTGGAGTGGTAACTGTTGATCTATGTTCCATAGAGGCCTAGCTAATCCGCTGTCGATCTCAACTCAACATAATACCTTGGAACTATTCACTATTTTCATTTCTCACAAATCCAAAAAATAGTGTCATATACGTGGGTGGAGGGTCTGAATATCCTCCGCATCCCCAAAAAAAATTTTTTTACTAGGCAAATTTTTTTGTTTTTTGATAATGTGATGTGGTAATAGCGGAATTATTGCCTGAAGTTGTATTATTTCCAGCTTTGAACCTTTTTTTTCAGAGGGCCCCACACATACATATTTTTTTCTGTTCCAATATGCTTTTGGGCTTTATAGCCTGTTTTGGACCTATAACAATTGACTTGCGGACTACCCGATCTTCAAAGCAGTGATTGTATCTGTAGGCTATCCATAGTTACACATAGATGTCTGAACTACCTAGTAAATTAGAAAAGACCGTAAAAAGCTCATCAATGCGAAAAAAAATCGTAAAATCTCAAAGTCGTTGTCCCGTTTACTTAATCGCTAAAACTATCGTGAATGATATAGGCCTTTGCCCTGATCCTATTGGAATCAGAACCTAAGTCCCAGAAGTGGAAGCTTGATTGGCATGGGGATCAAGCTTCCACTCGGGACTGAGGTTCTGATATCGGACGGCAGTTCGATCAGAGGCCTGTGCCCTTACCACAAATGTGATGGTGAAGCCTCATACCACTGGCCCGCCTGCGCTTGAGTATCCGAGCACTTGCACAGAGATAGAATTTGCGATCATGCTCCAGGATATTTATTTTTTAATCGTATGCTTTATAAA